CTGGTGGCTTGTGGAGTGACACATACCCGTAGTTCCAGCTGCTCAGAAGGCTGAGGTAGGAGGATCGCTTGAGCACAGGAGTTTGAGGCCAACCTGGACAACAGAGCAAGACCCCATCACTCTTTCTGTGTTTGTTTTTTGATTTTTAGTTTGGTTTGGTTTTTTTGAGCCAAGTTCTCACCATGTAGTTCAGGCTGCCCTTGAACTCACTATGTAGCCCAGGCTGACCTCAAACTGGAGGGGAATCCTCCTGCCTCAGCCTCCAGAGTTCTGGGATTACAACCATGTACTACCACACCCTGCATTTGATTTGGTTTTTTTTTTGAGACAGAATCTCACTGTGTAGCCCAGGCTGGCCTTGAACTCACTAAGTAGCCCAGATTGGCCTCGAACTCATGGTAATCCTGCATCAGCCTCTTGAATGCTGCTATTACAGGCTAGTTCCACTATGCCTGGCCTGTTTGTTTTGAGACAGAGTCTTGCTCTGTGGTACAGTCTTGCCTTGAACTCCCTGTGTAGCCCAGGCTGGGCTGGAATTTACCATTGTAAGACCGGGGGCCTTACCAAATGCTCCGAGGAGCTGACTGTAGTGAAGCACACCCAGGGATCCCAGCGGTGCCTCCAGAATGTAAGACCAAGGGCCCTACCAAACGCTCCGAGGAACTGACTGCAGTGAAGAACACCCGGGAAGGAACACACAGGACAAGTTGGAAAGTAAAACAGACCTTAGTCTGGCCAGACGGCACTCCCAAAGCAAAGTAGCTTAGAGAGGCAGCAAGCCCAGAGTCCGAGGTTCTTTTTACAGGGGGTTGCGGGGAAGTTAACAGGCAAAATTTACAGAAGAGGGAACAAAGGTTGGTGGTCTTACATTTGTATGTTAATTAGCCTGACCCGTACTGATGGTTAGCAGATGTTTTGTAGATTGTTCTATAGATAGAGGTGTCCTGGAACATCAGTTTTTGAACAAAGAGTTGAATAATTTACTTTGGGACCTTATGGCTGATATAGATCTTATCTAGTGTCCGGAACTAACAAGCATCTTTATCTATTTACTCACATTCAATCACAGTTGGGGCTAGGGGAGTTTTATGATTACAGAGTTATGCAGTCCCACAGTCCTGGCCCAGCGGACACTCCACTCCCTCTTAAAGACTCTTCACAGCTTGTTGGGGCTCAGTGTCCTGTCTGCATGGCCTGCCCTGTCCCCAGGGTCCCCCTGCCCAAGCCTCTAGGGAACACAGACACACCCCTCGGCCATCGGTGCTGTGTTGGCAGAAGGTCAGAGGTGCTGAGGAGCCAGGAGAGCCCTGGTGGGCAGGGGGACCTGCACGAAGGTAGGCCCAGGCTAGAGACTGAGACCAAGTCCCCAGCCAGCCCTGTGACAGGCTCAGCAACTCACAGTTGCCACTGAGGGGCAGTGTGCCCAGTGTTCTGCTGCCAAGCTACTGTGCCATCCATGGCCCTCAATGCCTGTGGGAACAGACAATAGGCTACCAGCAGCCCATGGGCCAGAGGGCCAGCCAGGATTCTAGAGGTAACTGCTACGGCCTAGCAACACACCATGCAGCCCCAAACCAGAACCCCTTCAGTGTGCACTGCTAGGCACCCCAAGTTGTCTGAATCACAGTTGCAGGGGTCTGGCCTGGAAATCTCTCTCTCTCTCTCTCTCTTTTTTTTTCCAGATTCTCTTTTGTTGCCAGTTCAGGGAGTCCAGGTGGTTGAGTATCAGATTGTTCCATCTTGTTGCCCTTTGGGGTTGCCTTAGGTGATCTGGAAGTCTGGTTTTGAGACTTATTTACGAGTCTTCTCATTTCAACAGATGCAGCCTGCTGTGCCCTTGTTGAGGCAACTTTTTGCCACCCAGTGGTTTTCAATTCTCAGCAAGCCACTGAGCTGCCTTTTCCTGGCTGCCCACCAGCACACTAATTCCTGGGTTCAGTGGCGGCCTTCTGGATCTCTGAGCTGACCTGTTATCTGGGTGGGCTTCTGGCTGGGGCCTGTGTACACTTGGGGTGGTATCTAGGTGTGCCTCTGGCTAAGGCCCCTATGTACCTGTTGTCTGGGAGGGCCTTTGGCTGGGGGCTTTGTACCCCAGTTCCTGTTGTGTGAGCAGGCTTCTGGCTAGGGTCTCATGCACATATCAATGGTTTTAGGGCGAGCCTCTGGCTGTTGCTTGTGCACCTGTGCAGCTCTTTTCCAGGTACGCTTGGCTTGGGCCAGTGTGCCCCAGCCTATGGGGTCGGGGCGGAGCCCTGGCTGGGATCTGCTTGCAGTCACGCTGCTCTGGTCCACACCACTGCTCCCCCAACTAAGGTGGTCTGGTGTGCCCATATTGCAGGGATATTCTTTCAGACTCACTTTTCCAATGGGCCTTAATTTTCATCAAGGAGCCTCAGAGAGGCCCTCTCTGATGTTCACTTCTGCTCTATCATCTGGAGCACAAAACAATGTTCTTTATGACCCCTGCAACTCTGCGGTGTGGATCCAAGTAATGGCTCGGCATAGCTGTGGTGGAGGGTGATGCTGGAGCCCAAGTGGCTCACTTCCTTGGTTCCCCGGGGGGGGGGCTCTGCTCCTTGGCACTCGGGGGGATGGGGGGGTATGGTGCCCTGAGAGCTGGAAATCACTTTCTGACCAGCCCCTGGGGTGTTTGGAGGTTCAGAGAGGGCTGAGAAGAGACACTGCCCCTTTCTGCCTGTTAGCTCCCCAAGACTGCCTGTGATCCCTGGGGTTTGTGCCCCCAACCCACCTAATGTCCCTCCCTAGCCAAATCTCCCCAGCCT